AAATATGTGTTTCTGTTGTCACCAAGTGCTAGCTTGATTATCATCACACATGTAGCAATAGCCAAGTTTAGCATAAAATGTCCACCCTGTTACTATTTTTCACAGTAACAGGGTGGACTCACAGTAACTGGGGATGTTAAAATAAATGTAAAAATAATATCCTGAGCTTGACCAAAATATGTTTCTTATACTTTAACAAGCCATCATTCAGATTAAATAAAAAAAAACATGGAAAATTATGTTTTTTATTTTTGCTTAGCCTAGCTGAAATGGCACCGAATGCTAGGAATGACTCAGATACCCTGTGGAGCTTTCCTGAAAACAAACAAAAACTAAGATTATATTGATTACATTCACTGTTACATTGTAGGTCTCATTGAGGTCTAACAAATCATATTGACATATTTTATTTAATCAAGAATGCTAAATGCTGTATATTTAAGATCCATGATTAATATCTTGCCATCTTCCTCCTCATTTTGTAGCATATCTTGGTTTTATCACCACTTTGCACTATGGGAATGTGGAAGTAATTTGTAGACGTTATATATTGTCACCATTCCTAATAAAAGGGGTAAAAAAACAAATCTGAAAACCTTTAAAAAATATATTTAAAAAACTGCTAAAATTCTACTATTCTCTAACTCACTTTTCGTCCATGTTCCACCCAAATAACAAATCCTGTTTCTGTGAAGAGACTTTAGTCAAAAAAAAAATGCTGTAAGTCAAAGGTCAAGGGTTACATTAACATATTTTTGAGATGAATGTTCAATAAAGACATATTAATCGGTGCCCATCCACTCACTGATGAGCGCGGTGACGATGTCGTGCATGCTCTCCAGGAAGCTGGCGAGGTGTTGTGTGGAGGTGTGGTGGGGGGAGGTGATCTGAGCCACCACCGCGGCCGCCTCCGCCCGCGCTGCCTCCACGCTGCTCTCCTCCGTCAAGATGTCCGCCAGACACAGGATCCCATCCACCTGAACACACACAGACACATCAGGGACCACAGAAGTAGAAGAATTTATCATAACCTGTTTTATAAATTCAAGATTCAAGTGTAGTTATGACAATGACCATATAGGTCAAAGGCTCCTCCAACAGTGCAACACAATGAAACAGATATAGTGCAAGTAAATAAAATAGAATATAATAGAAATAGTGCAGAATAGTCTACAAGTAATTGGAATATTGATATATATATATAAGTTGCAAACAGATGAATGTTGGATGTTCTTTCAAAAGTTCAGGTGTTTAACTGTCTTGTGGCATTTAGTTTCTATTTTCTCGTTACTCGTTTTTGGCACTTCAAATGCACTTCTGACCTGAACGTGGAACTGATGTTAGCAGTAACACTTCTGAGGCAAATTAAGATACGTAAAAAGTTAAATCAGTGTCAAATATGTTACTAACTTGACTATCATGACACAAAGGTTGATGTTCATTACATTGCAATACTGTAGTCAAGAAAATTTGAAGATTCTGCTTGTCCTGTTTCCCATTTAAAATGTGTTTTATACACTATTAAATAACAACTTCAAAGCGTTTTAAGACTTTTTAGATTTCAGATCCATATTCAAATGACTTTATTGTCCATTACATTTACATCAAAATGTGTCTTTGACCCCAGCAAATAAACAACACTCATTTCACACAGACAGAAACATTTCACACAGACAGACAGACAGACAGACAGACAGACAGACAGACAGACAGACAGACAGACAGACACACACACACACACACACACACACACACACACACACACACACACACACACACACACACACACACACACACACACACACACACACACACACACA